TGAAAACTATTCAAAACTAAACGCAAACGTGTTATTTTTAAATTATTATTGATATTTGAATAAAACAAAAGGTAAGATACATAAAACTATCATCAGCTACACTAACAAAAGAAAATTTCATCAAATCAACTTCGCATAATAAATCTAATATCTCAACTCTGACGCATCCTTAGCGCGTCATCGATTATCAGCTCATTGGGTGCCGTGGTCAAGGATAGACGACACCCTGATGACGTCATAAACGAATAGCGGAAAAAGTAGTGCAGTGCAACATGAACGATTCCTCAGAACTCATTCGCATTTTGGAAAGTGTCGATGATGATCTATTTTTTTATTTTAATATAAAATTACAAATAATAAACGTTTATTTTTTTCTTAAGATATGACGAGCAATTTTACATTTTTTGTTGTGCGATTTTCTTTCTCAATATAGGGTATTGATTGAAACCTCTTTGATTGATTGATTGAAATATTTGCTGATGACATTTCCGTTATTATTCCGCATAAGCAAAAGACTAGAGTTTAAATAATAAATTGTATCATGTATTGAACCAGGTTACAAATTGGCTGACACATCACAACCTAGAGATTAATTTTAATAAAACCAAACAAATGTCCCCAGCGCTCTGCCAGTACGCATACACATCTTCATAGCTGTCATACGGTGCAATGTTGTGGGGAAATAGTAAAGATGCACAGCAATTATTTATAATGCAAAAAAAATTATAAGAATCTTGGCAAACATAAAAATTCCAGAAAGTTGTAAGCGCCACTTTAAAAAGTTTAAAATTTTGACTTTGACGTCTATTTATATTTGGGAAACATGCAAATTTGTAAAAAACCACCCAGAACTATTTACCAAATTAAGTGAAACAAATTACAAATACTCAATTAGACCAAATAAAAATAGGCTACTATTGCCGAAATCTACTCTTGCTTTGCATCATAGCTCTAGTCCCTACTGTATGGCGGTAAGAATTTTTAATAACCTTCCAAATGATATAACGAGTACTACATTATAGATTACTACATAATAGGATTAGCAAACCCTTTAACAAAACCATAACGCCAAAAACTCTATACTTTTCCTTTGTTCGGTCAATCTTAGATTTTTGTAGTACTGTATGGAGTCCCTGTTTTTATATACATAAGAATAGAATTGAAAGAGAACAAAAGACATTCCTTAGGTACTTACTATCGTAATAATATTACTAACGAATCGTATGATGAATCTTTGCGTAGGTATAAGTTATTATCCCTTTGCGATAGACGCAAATTGTTTGATATAATCTTTTTATATGTATAAAATTTTGAATAATTTAATTGACTCCTCTGTACTTCTGTCAAAGGTATCATTTATTGCTCGTGTTCATCTTCCGGTGCGGTGCGATCCTCACGTAAAACACCACTTTTTGTTCCTCCGCGGTTACATAAAAGATATACTCGTAATTCATTCTTATACCATTCCACTGACATATATAATAAGCAATTTACTAATATCGACCTTTTTAATTCATCTCTCAATACCTTAAAACAGAAAATAAAAAATAATTTAAGTAAGATTTGCTAGTGAGTTGCATTTTTTTTTTTTAATTGATATTCTATTTTTAATTATTTTTATGTACTTAGTTTTTTTTTTTTTTATATTAATAGTCACTATGTAGTGTCACCATGTAACTTTCTTTTAAATTGTATTTAATTTTTCTAAGTTTTTTGTATTTTATTTCCTTTGTATAAGACTGTTTGTTGTCAAAATAAATTTAAAAAAATTATTTTTATCCAAATTAAAGTTATATTTCATTGAAAAATGTTTCTATAATTTAAATGAATATTTTGGTACAAATTTTATTTAATTTGTGTGGACAACTTCGGCCTGTGCCTATCTAATTTGATTTAATTTGTTTATTCAATTATTATTTTTTACTTATTTTTATTTATAATAATAATTATTATTTTTACTTGACATTGTGATTATTAATTTAATTAAATTTACAAGATTTTGAAATAATATAATCTAATAATGTAATTTATTTATGAAATCTTGTAGTTTTAAAATAATATTTAATATTTTTATAATTGCTACGCCCAAACTGGGTTCACAAATGCGGACTATTTTTTTAAAAAATTCCAAATTCTATTGTTACCATTTGATTGTAATAAAGATTATGATTATCTCAAAATCATGCAGTAGCATCAGCATCATATCAAACCCCCGTTGTCATAAGAGCGTAAGACTTCTTCTGTGCTTCGCTTGGCCTACGCCTCCCCCGACACATAAAATATTTTGAGTCAATCTCTGTATATTTTGGTTAGATCGATTCCGAAATCGATACACAACGTGCGAGCTACATCTCTAAAAAAAGTTTCAAAAAGGATCAGCTACGCCGTTGTCGTCCAGTCGTGACAGTGACGTCATCACGATGAAGAGTAGTGCTGTGGTTTACTACTATTTTATTGTTATTGTTTATTTTATTTATCTACAAAGTACATATATAAAAAGAGTGGAAGACAGTACAAGATTAACATACCAGATTGTAAAGAGTCATTTATTGCATAAAAAACCAACAAAATCAAGTTATTTTGTGTTATCAATATATCAACTCTTGGCAACACTATTTTTTCGTAGGTATTTTTGTTTACTTTTCGCTTTGGCGTACAGGACACGGTAATGCGTTTTTGACGTGGCGCTCAAAAGGTTAAACTTTGATAAATGGTGCAATTTCAAGCCCTTAGTGTGAAATAGGGTGTACAGTTTATACACACTTTTCACTTTATGGAGCCATTTTATATGTATATGTACAGGTTAAGCTTACTGCTGGGCACAGGCCTCCCCTCATTTCTGATAGGGTTTTGGGGCTAGGAGGTGTCCCCGCTCTGCCCGAATGTGTGTTGGCGAACTTCATATGTGTGTTATACGTGGTAGAGCCATGTTGCAGTGATATTAGTAGTATAGGTGTAGCAAGAATAGGTCGGCTCGACCAGGGTAAGACCACGCTCTCACTGAATACCAGCGTAAAATAGTAGCGTAATGCTGCTGTGTTCCGTATCGTGAGTGTAGAGAACCGTAGACCCTTTTTACTGGAAAAGAGGCATTCCATCTTAGTCCTCACGAGTGACAACGCATCTGCATTTTGATTTGTAATCGAGGATAGATGTAGATGTCTCTGGGCCGCAGCAACCACCTACCATCAGGTGGACTGTGCTCGTTTGTCACCCTATCCTATAAAAAATAAAAATGTCTTCGAAATAAATTTTTCCTATTTCTTAGACATGCCGGTTTCCTCACGATATTTTCCTTCACGGCCGAGTATGTAGTAAATCAGCACTTTAAATTGCAACTGACAATTTCATTGCTGCTGGCGGGGATCAAAGACGGGTTGAACGCGTACTGTAAAATTCATAGCAAGCGCTAACCATCTAGGCTACCATGGCTTATATGTACGAGTATATGTATGGTGAAAAATTATTAAACGAATTTTGTTACTTGAAAATTGGTTACGTAACACCGTGGGGCGGAAAGCTATTCTTTCTTCATTTTTTTCATATTTAATTTGTTTAATATTGCTGCAAATTCACTTACTTGTGGAATTTTATACCACTTTCCCTTTGGTAACGAGTTTTACAGATTACAAACATTCTCATTATTCAAAATACAGATTCTTTAAATAAGACAACAGACTGGCATATTATATCAATTTTAGTTCTCAAGACGACCAATAGTTATGCTTCAAATTGGCACAGACATTTTATTTTGTACGATATGGGTAGTCCAGCTTACTTGTATATATAGAGGTCAGAGTATACGGTCCAAACTAAATGTACCATAGATGTCCGTCTGTTGCGTGTATCTAGTTAGTTTGTGGTTTTGACATATTTTTTTCATTTGTGGTCGCGACCGTAAACAATTGTAAATTCCATAATTTTGTGCAAACTTCGGACAGTGTATCTGTGAGTTCCACGTGGTAAGTACAAAGATATCGTATACTAGGTTCCTGATTCCAAATTTGTAGTAAATAACCAGAGTACCTACATCAAGTTTTATTAAAGAATATGCGCATGATTTGTGACCGGTATTCACTGTTGAGGTTAAAATTCGTGTGTCCGTTCCAGTTCGTTATGTGTTTGTTATGTCACCCACTAGAATGTTATAAAAGAGACTGTTAACATAACTTAACCGACTCCGACGAAATAAAGAAAAGAGTAATGTCATTCTGACATACTAGATAAGATTGGAGTGTTATACTCTTCTACTTTATTATTACTATTGAGCCCTCAGTAGTCGAATTAGGTCCGTTTTTGTTTTTTGCTTTTTTGCACTTCTTCATATAAACGTCAACTGTACAAAATCTCACACTCCTCCGTGCGCGCATTACTCCTTAAAAGGGTTGAATATTTTTGCTACACGTAATAATACATTAAACACTTAATCAATTAAACAAAGTGAAAGATTATAATGTCATTTTCTCTTTATATTATTACTATATATTTTTATTACAAATGATATATGCAACTAGAATACATATACGTATTTTTTAAGATAGTGTGTAGTTATTTAGGTAAGTAACTACGTGTTTTATTATTTTTATTTATTGGAGATGCCTATTCAAACTGAAAGGCAAAAAAATATAGAAAATGTTTGAAACGAAACAACCCTGAAAAATATGAAGTGATTAAAAAGAAAAATGCAGAAAAGACAAACATACATAGAAAAAGGATCAGTGATTGTTAATCTGCGCAAAAAAAATAAATGCGCAAAGAAATGGAGAGAGCATAATAGATTATAGTTTCTCAATAAAATGTCGAAATCACTCCTTGTAAAAAAGCGGACAGTTTCATTAACCAAAACTTACCAAACATACATAATGAAAAACACACAACTTCTGGAGCATAATGTTTTAGTAGATTCTTTAAAACAGTGTTACAAAACACGAAATAATTATTCTAAACGCGTTATTAAGAATGTAGTAGTTAACGGTTATATCGTTGAAAAGTACAAAACGATGGCTAAAATATCAAGTTATTTAGGATTGAAAGGCAAAATACTATACATACACGTGAAGAAAAATAATTATGCTCTATTAAATCAACTTAAAGAATTTTTCGAAAGGGATGATGTAAGTCGGGCCACGGCAGGCCAGAATTTTCATAAAGACAAAAGACAGATAAGGTATTTATTGGACACTTTGGTAAATCTATTTAACCCTTTCAGACCTGGAGCCAACATTTGTAGACATAAGATTTAAATTTAAAATGAGTCATGATATTTGCGAGTGAAAACGGTTGTATTCATTTGCCCACATAATACACTACCTAAATCAGTACTACTATCGCCATCTATTGGGGTATCCTAACACCAATGGAGAAGATAACAAGGTTACAATATCAGACTTTTAAGTACGTAGGTAAAAAGTCTAGACCAAACACATAACCTAATTTTTTTTTTCACATCGATCGGTGCACTATTACCGAAGTTATAAGCGTGGAAAGTTTACGTACATTTTTAAAATCTCGCCCGTGCCCGCGAGTAGCGAGTGACGTCATCGATTCCATGCGGCCGCGCCGCCATACCGTTCCAGCGCGCCGATCATACGTTTGTAGAAATATTTTGCGGGTGAGTTGTTTGACGTCGTGCGCTCTGGTATTTTTAAGTATTTAATGATGGAAGAAGGGTTTCAAAAGGGTCAATCTGACAACCTTCCAATAGTCCGTGACATGATGGTGGCGGAATATTTTCTAAGAAACAAAGATTTTTTCGCGGCTGAAATACGCATAAGAATAAGATAATATTTTTATAACCTAGTTATACCCATTATTACTTTAAAACTTCTGGGTTTCATTTGCTAATGATAAGAATAGGTATAACAAAAATATAGTGCATTGGGGTAAGATCGGTGGTGGGGTAAGACCGTAAAGACTATATAACCACTTGACTGCGCATACAGTGCCCCGACGCTCGAAAACTATTAGTATTTTGTCGCCTATGCATCGGCTATGGTACTATTAACCATTTTAGTATTGTCCAAGTGTTAGACCTGTGTGCACGCTAAATTAATGCAAATTTTTATAACTTTTATGCAATTATAAGGCATCAAAATGCGCGGTGAAGAGGTGGGGGAAACATTCCAGGACAGATGTCCAAAAATAATGGAGTAACTTTTCCATTGCTAAGTAAAAAATACGAAAATTATTGTTGATTAATTCAGATTATGAGATAGATAGATTACCGTTTTAGATAGACCCCTGCGGTGGGCAGGGGTCTATCTAAAACGGTCGGCAGTAAATAACGACATGGTTGAGTCGCGCGTTGATGTCTTTTGGAAAAGTCTCGTTCTATTATTAGACAATTCTAATGCTTCTATCCCTTTCTTTCCCTTTGTATGTTTATCGTAAACATTAGTACTTACTGTTACCTTTAATAGCTGAAAGTCGATATCGAAAATAATAAAATTAAATTAATAAAAAGATTATTCAATTCACACACTGTGAAAAAATACTTATCTACTTTTAACCGTCTTCAGAAAAAAGAGGAGGTTCTCAGATTGTCGGTATTTTTTTCTTAGTTAAAGTTTATAGTTACCTAGTTAAATTAGTTAGATTGGTGTACCAAATCAGAACGGCTTACAATTTCAAAAGGACACTAAAGACAAGTTATTGTACGGATCCACTACAGTACTAGGTACTTGTCGTCGTTGTAAAAATTTTAATAAGAGGGCGATCAATGAGAGTGGTTCAAAAGTGCTGTCTTCGAAATATAATACCAATTATTTTATGAGAACGGTTTTAAAATCTCTGATTAGGTATTATTGATTCCCGGATATTCATTTTCATCAATATGAAATAGAATCAACAAATCATTTAATTGAATTAGCAAGATGCATAATTTACAAATTTGTAGACGCTTGTTTATATTTTTTAACAAAGAACAATCAGGACCCTTAAAATTTAATTCGAAATAAATATAAAAAATTATTCATTTTAAAAATCAATAGTAATATAATAAATACATGTTTTCGTTGTAACTGATTTATTTTGATTAAATATTATTTATATGATTTTGAGTATTTTTCCTAATGATAAAATCCATTTTATCGATAACGAATATTTTCCCTTATTAAGAAGAGCAACCCTAAAGATAGCCATAACAACGCAACTTGACCATTTGCAGCCACGCGTTCTTCCTCGTCCCCCGGCCCGCAGTAGTGAGTCGTATGCTTAGAAGAAATCTGCCTATACGCTCTCTAGTGGTTATATTCTCTATGGGTAAGACCGTAAACCGACCGTAAGACCGTAAAATTCAAATTTTCGGTGAATTATGTTTTATTTTTGAAGGCTAGCAATATGGTACAAGACTCCATTTTATTCTGCCCCGACCCCAAGTTTCAGCCAGTCGCTCCGAAAAGTAGGGCGTGTGCTGCGCAGTATTTTATAAAACAAGGTAATTTTTGTATTTTTTTCGTCCGTCCGGTCTTTACCTATCACTTTTATTTGCGATTTTTAGCGGCGTCCGGTCTTCCGAACCCCTTGTAGAAACCCCTTCATCTGCCAGTTCATCATCATGACTATCGTCACCGTAATCTTCGTCGTCATCCTCATCATCGTCATCCTCCGAACTTGACTCAGAGTCATCATTGCCCACTTGAATGATAAACTCTTCCGTTATTTGGTCAATGATGTGGTCGTTTTTCATGTACTCCTTCTCTATATCTTTCACTTTGTCGCATAATTTTGCCCATTCGCTAGCACCCATTAAATTAACTTTTTCCTTAATAAGGATTGTTATGCAGCTAACATTCACATTTTTTCTGTTAACGTAACCTTTTATTGCAGCCCAAGCCATCTCAATTGGATTGAGATCTGGATGGTATATAGGTAATCTTAAGACCTCGTGACCGTGTTCAGCCATAATTTTGTCTATAATGATTTTTTTTATATTTTTCTTTATTGATTTTAATTAGATTGTACAGTTCAGGCTTAAGCATTGTTTCCTCATGCTGTATACCTGTAAGAGGATGTTATAGTGCGATAAAGCTGCCAATTGTACAAACCGCCATTTTTTTACTCAGCAATATTATTCTGTGCCCAATAAAGATTATATTATTATTATTATAAATACCATTTTCTTTCAACCAATCCAGCATCTCCAACTTCCTGGAATTTGAAGACGGCGCAAGATCGTACTGTTTGTTGATCGTTAATTTCTTGTATTTTTAGGCTATGTTTCCTTCTTTCTTGGCACATTTTCATATTTCCAGCATTCTTGGGATGATACATGGAAAGTAGGACTATATGATAATTTCAGTTATTTTTTAATATTGTAATTTTAATTTAGAAAATCTTACTTCAGATTGATTAAAACCACTTTTACGGGTTTTATCGAGTTTTATTTATTTTATTTTCAATTATGTAGTTACCTCAGATTATTTTTATGGTGAACGCTACATTTTAACCGTTGTTTTTGAATGCTCTATTGAAAAAGTAGTATATTTTACAGTTGTGCGTTTATAATTTCTTGTATTTTTAGGCTATGTTTCCTTCTTTCTTGGCACATTTTCATATTTCCAGCATTCTTGGGACGATACTATGGAAAGTAGGACTGTATGATAATTTCAGTTATTTTTTATTATTTTTTAATTTAGAAAATCACGTTGTAAATATCTGATAACTATGTAATTCAAAGTTTACATTTTTTTGTATTATCTTGCTAGCTCGTACCCGGCGCATTGCTGCCGCAGAAGAAATAATTGTGTAAATATCGTTAAAAATGTGTAACAGTTATATTGTATAATTAAAAATGATAACACAATAATTGAAATAGAATGCTATATAACTTTCTATAACTTCAAATAAATAGTCAGTATAGTAACACGCCACCTACTATCAGTTAATTGTACCATGAGTATAACCTTCGCACAAGTGCAACCAATAAGTTGACTAAGTTTTACCGCAATCTGATGAACGGTATGGTCATGGTCGTAGAAAGTACGAACAAACATAAATTTTTATATAGTAGAAGATATTTTACTGTCTATAGACAGACCTGCAGTTGATTAGAATAGGCGTTATTATAGCAGCTGATTTGTTTTTTATAATACTAGAAGTAAATGGACGGTTGACAATAAATTATTTTAGAAATTATGTTTTTATTTTTATTTTGTGTAGTTAGTTTAATCTTAATAATTTTTTAGTTGAATGGTCTAAGGGCTAAGATGGCTATCCGAGTACAGAACCAGAGTACAAAACTAATCCAACTGTAGAGATGTGTAAGACAGGGTGACGTTATATCCCCGAAATACTTTACCGCTGCATTGGAAGACGTTTTCAAGCTACTGGACTGGAAAGGATACGGTATTAACGTCAATGGCGTGTACATCACTCGCCTTCGATTTGCCGACAATATAGTCTTTATGGCAGAATCTCTGGAGGACCTACGCACTATGTTCGATGACCTCAATAGTGTCTCCCAGCGCATAGGTCTTAAGATGAACATGGACAAAACAAAAGTCATATGTAATGTCCATGTCACACCTATGCCGGTGGTTTTTGAGAGCACTTAGCTGAAGTTGTTGACGAGTATTTTTACTTGGGACAAATATAGGTCAATCGACGGCCTCAACTCGGCTGGTTCGTTTAGCGTTCGGCAGATTACAACACATCTTCTCGTCAGGAATACCTCAAAACTAGTTGTACAATCAGTGCGTGCTGCCAGTGATAACCTATGGATCTGGGACGAGGTCTTTCACTGCTGGCCGTATGAGGAAGCTCGAAGTCGCTCAGCGAGCTATGAAGAGGGCTAAGGGGTTCAAACTTAGGAATCGGGATATCTGCAACAGAACCAGAGTTACCGAGATCGACCAATGGATGAGTAAGCTGAAATGGCAATCGACCGGCCATAGCTCGAAGAACCGAATACCGATGGAGAAAAAAGGTTCTCGAGTGGCAGCCTCGTACCGGCAGGTGAAGTGTAGGATGTTTTCCCACTAGATGGAGTCAAAACCTGGTAAGTCATGCAGGAAGTTGATGGATGCAGGTAGCTTAGGACCGTGTTTTGTGGCATTCTTTGGGGAAGGCCTATGTTCAGCAGTGGACTTGTGAAGGGTTTTAATGATGATGAATG